GAGGAAACGGCAAGATGGGAGAAGGAAAGTCGGGTGGTGTAGAACTGTGGTGTGCCATTGGCATGGCTCAAGCTTTAGATACTTCTATCACAAACTGGCTTTCATCTACTTCTCTGTCCTTCTTTCCCTCATTCCCTGGAACCCCTGGCACCTATGAGGAAGGCAGCATGCCATCCTTCGTGGCATCTGTGCAGCAGCTGCTCACTGTTCCCCAGACTGGAATGCCCACTTGGTAGCTTCTGCCAAGCCAAACCAGCTAGAGGCCAAGATGCGGCATGTGCCCAGCTCTTTCAGCAAGTCTGCAGGACCTCTAAGCCACAAGTGCTTCCTCATGTGAGTATTCCAGAGCCCAGAGCTCAGAGCCCACTGCTCAGGAGCCCCAGCACAGTCAGAGATCCAGACCCTAGTACCTTTCTGGTATTTGCCTCCATTTGAGACAGACGAGATTGATGCTCTCCTTGCCATGAGGGGGGCGTGCCCAGCCTCAATAGTCAGCAACAGCATAGTTGTTTCTTGTCACACAGAACTGAGGCATGGAAAGACACATATTCCCTTCAACTCAATATCACTGAAAGATGAGAAAGACAGCACAGTCATCTTTTGACAAAAGGTAAAAGAACTTTGTCCAGTATGTGTGTATATTCCTGTGTGTGTGTGTGTGTGTGTGTGTGTGTGTGTGTGTGTGTGAATGTGCAATTGTGGAAGCCAAAAGTTGAGGACAGGCTCTCTATGGTAGCTAATACTGTCAGTTCAAAAGGATCTAGAAGCACCCAGGCACCCAGGAGCAAGCCTCTGGGCATGTCTTAGGGGGATTATCCAGGTTTGGTTAATTGAGGAGTAAAGACCCACCTTACCTATGGATAGCACAGGTCCGTTGGCTGGGGTCTCAGACTGAATGAAAAGCAGCAAGCCAGTGGAGCACCAGCATGTAGCAGCATGTGCGTCCTGACTGTGTCTTCAGATGACCAGCTCCCTAAGTCTCTGGCCCCCTTGTCTTCCTCACTGTGATGTGCTGTGACTGTGCAGTTGCGAGACAAAATAACCCTTTTCTTCCTCAAGTTGTTTCCCCCAGGTAGAAACAAGATCTCACAGCATCAAGAAAGGCAACTAAAACAGGTCTCTGAGCCTGGAGTTCACAGCTTAAGCTAGACTGGATGATCAGTGAGTGCCAGGGTTCCACCTGTCCTCACCTCCCCCCCCCCACTCCCACCCGTGTTGAGATTAAAATCTCATGCCACCGTGACTGGCTTTTTAACATTGGTTTTGAGGGGTTGAATTTTGTTCCTCATGCTTGCAATAGCAAATATTTTCCCAACTAAGCTATCTTCTAGCCCCACTTTTTTCTTATTATAAACATCAATTGAGTGCCTACTACATGTAAGACAAGGTCAGGCCACAGAAGCATAGAAATGCTAAAGTTCCCCACCCTCCTCCAGTGGCCAACAGCAGCCATCTTGCACCCAGCTCAGAACAGGGTGACCAGAACCAAGAACCCAAGCACAGAATAAAATATCTGACAGAGCCCCAGATGGACTCCAAAGCAGATAAGAGGGGAAGGTCTCATAAAACCCAACCCCAGTATCCCTTAGCTGCAACCATTAAAGGGGAATAGTTAAGCCTCCAGACGAGGAAGACATCCTGAACAGAGGCACTGTGAGTACAGAAGGTGATCATGTGGTTTCCAGGGTGCATTGTCCCTTGGGTCCCAGGAAAGGAGGTGGAGCCTGGGCCCAAAAGCTCATTCCAGCCACTGTCACTCAGGGCAACATCCCAGATCAGCAATGCAGCCACCAGTGTGCATGCTGAAAAGCCTAGCCAGGGCCTGCATAGACCTGGGTCTCTGCCACCTGCACACAGTGTGGGCTCCCAACATGTTCATGGGATGAATAAATGGCAAACAAACAGGCTGTGAGCAGATCCGTTGCAGATGTCAGCCTTGGAGCCTCGGGGTACCTGGTCCTGAGACTGGGTCTGGAATCTGATGTACATCTGGTCCTGGTCAGGCCAGCCTTGCTGCCTGGTGGAGGAATGCTGTTCTCTGTGAGCCCTTCCCCCATCTCCTCTGGAATTTATTTATTATTTACAGCTGCTGCAGGAGATCCGCCAGGACACCTCCTGCCTGACTGCAGTTCTCGCCAGTGCAGATACTCTTTCTGAGATAAAGTAGAAGGCAGAGCTTTAAAAGAAACAAAGAGGTCAGCCAAATGCAGTCTTTCTGTGACCTGTATATGTGTTGAGGTCTGGGGTGTGGGGCACAAAAATGCCCTAGGTCAGCCTCCCACCCTGGAAGTATTACCAGGGCAGGGGTCAAGAAGATGAAGAACATTCTGTATCCAGGGTTGGGGGAGGGGCCTGCAACATCAAAACACACACACAGACACACACAGACACACACACACAGAGACACACACACATACACACACACACACACACACACACACACGTTTCTCAGGGCCAAGAGCCACAAGAAGGATGCCAGAGCACAGAGAACTCATGTGAGTTCTCCAAGGCCACCCAGCTGCGAGTGTCAGAAGGCAGGAATTCAACCCAGTTCTCTTCAGGCAGCCCTGGTCCATGAGATGAGAATGGTCACATGGGAATGATGTCAGCTATGGTGATAGCCAGAGAATAAGTTCTGAGTCCCACATCGTGAGAAACTCCTAAAAGATGAGAGTCTGTCTGGGTCTGCTTTGGGGAATTGAAGGTATGCTGGTGCCTTTCACTAGAAGGTAAGACCTGAAAGCCACAAATGACAAACACTGAGGCAGCTGTCAGCAACCATATTCTAGGAAGAGGTGGCTGGAGAATAGGGTGGAAGTAGAGGTCAAAGAAACTATGACACCTGACCTCAACCTGAGTCAAAGTCCTATGTATACCCATGACTTGGCACCAGAATTTATATTCAGTATTTATGTACTGTTTATTCTAAGATGCATGCCAGACTTCTGTACTCTGAGCCTCAATTTCCCCAAAGACAGAGCGTTTCAGGGGACTGTGGTTTTTTTTTTTTTTCTTTAAGAAACAGCTGCTGGGAAGTTGCTAGAAACAACCCAATCACCCCAGCTGAAGGGTGCAGAGCCATCTGTCTCCGGGGATGAGAAGAGGCAGGGCTGGATGGAGCCACAACATGAGTATTCTTTGGATTCAATTCTGCTATCTTGAGATGTAGAATCAGGGGGTGTGGCTGAGGCTGGTCTAGGTGGCCTGGGGAATCTGATCCTGACCCTGTGCATGTCAGCAGTGAGGAGACTCTGGTTTCAGGGACTCTGATATGTGAGCCTTGAAGTTGCCCAGAGCTTCTGGGTTTACTCTGCTTGGCCACAGCACAGTGGTGGTTATGCGATGGCCCCTGACATGAGACATATCCATGCCTGCTTTCTGCCAAGTGACCATAAATGATTCACTCATCCCAGGATTTGGGGAAAACTTCTTTAATGTCACCTGCTAGCACACTGGCTTTGCAGGGTTCTGGCTGTAGGACCAATTGAAAGAGTTCATGAGAAGAAAACAACAACATGTTAAGCAGTTAATCTCAGAGTTCTACACCCCTGCCTGGTTTTGAGATTTTCATATATAATTCCCTTCCATTCTCAAATACCAGTTAATATGGATTAGATCCAAAGAACAAAATACCCAGATATCCATGACTAAGACCATGAGTTGTTGATTCATCTCATATTTGGTTCAATAAGAAGATAAACTCCCAGGAACCCAGATCTTTTCATCAGTCTCAGGGGCTTGTTCTTATACCAAAATGGCTGCTTCCGCTCCAGCCATCACATTTACACGCCAGAGAGATGAATAGAGCCCCCCACCCCCTCTGTTTAAGAAATGAGGTCCCTTTTAGACTTCCTCTAGAACTGGCTCAGAGGCCCAATCTGAGTGAATGACTAAATCAGTCATCAGAGTCACCCCTTTTTGCAGGTCATACTTTTGGGAATCACAAATGATTTCTGTGGGTACAGCCACTGCAGCTTGAAACAGACAGCATCCCTAAACAGGAAGTAGCACTGAGCTACCAGGAAACAGGAATGGAACACGCTTTATGCACAGGATGGAGCCTTCATACTTGGTAGGAGATAGGTGGCTGTGAGCATGTGCCATGAAGTCTGGACAGGGGAATGATGTACAAGAGGGAAAAAGGAACCTGGGGCAGGCACTGGCTGGCAGTACCCAGGAGATGACCTGAATTGTACATATAGTGCCAGGCTGAGGACCACTCAGGTCTTTCTGAGATGCAGAAACAGGAGAGGGAGGGCAGAAAGGAATCAGGGACCAGAGGCTGAACAGTACCCATGGGGAGATGCTGAGGCTATTCGAGGTGGATCTGGATCCTTAAAAGATTCTCCATCTCTTTGTTAGGCAAACTTGAGATTTCTTTGACAAGGGTCTGGAAAGAACCAAGGCTAGGAGCCCTGTCGCACCAAGAATAAGAAATATTAAAAGACACTGAAGACAGGCTAATGGACTGAGGATCTCTGGCAGAGGAGCCAGCTGGGCGAGGAACTGCCACCAGCATCCATAGCCTTGAGGAGCAGGGCAGACCCTGCTGATAGCTCACACCTCCAGGCCTGTCAGTGATAAATTCTTGTCATTTCTCGGTGGAGTAAGAACTTTTTTGCTTGCCTCTGAGTCAGTGGTGGGAAAGACAGTGACGAAAGGCTAGCACACGGGAAGAGCTAAGTCCTCCCCACCCCCACCCATCCCCAGAGCCCTTGCAAAGCCCTCACAGTGTCTCCATCATCACTACTTCCAGCCTGCACCCTTCTGTTTCCTCCCTCCTGCCCTGAGAGCCTGAGTCCTCCTGGAACACGGAGGATGCTGAGTGAGAATTCATTCACCTCCCATGTGGAGTAGGTCCTGGGACTTTCCCTTTAAGAGCTGTCAGAGCGGGGAGGCTGGCCAAGCTGGGCTGGAGGTGGGGACAGAGGAAAGAAAAAGAAAGAGGGAGAGAGAAGCAGAAAAAGTTTTTTTAGAGGAAAATGCAGGGCTAGTCTGTTGGCCTGACGTCAGATGTCGCTTTGACAAACCCCCCCGGGGGCTCAGGAAGGCTCTCTGCTGCTCTGATGGGCCAGCCCAGTCCTGGCCCAGCTCCCTGGAGAGGCATCCGCATCCTCTGGGCTGAGCCGTAGCTCCTGTGACGCTGACTTCCAGGCATGAGGTGGCTCCTGCCCTGGACGCTGGCAGCCGTGGCGGTCCTGATGGTGGGCAACATCCTGGCCACGGTGAGTCCTGCCTAGAAGGGATCATTGAGGGGACCTAGTCACTTTCTGCCTGGTTCTGAGCCTGAGGGGCTGGGGGATCAAGACAGGATAGGTTGGGATAATGAATAGAGAGAGAAGAGGGCTGCTTGGGTTGGAAGAAGGTGGTGGGGTGGGGCAGAAGGGGCATCCCTCAAGAGAGCCACCCTGTTTCCTCGATTCACAGACAATAACACTCAACAAAATAAGGGCCTGGGGATCTGCACCCCGGCCTTGTTTTCTTGAGTGGGTCACTCAATCATTCAGAGCAGTATAAAATGGGGGGGGGGGTTGCTAGGAGCATCCAGAGCCTGTGAGTTTGAAAACCCCAGGACCCTGAGCATCAGAACTCCCCCAAAGAGAGGCACTGGGAAACCCCAGGAAAAGATGTGAAGGAAAATGCCAGTTTTCAGCAAATCTTCACCATGCAAGCAGGGTTTGGGTTTACCACCATGAGTTCCTTGTGGCCCTCATGGTTTATTTGTTCCTGTCCTGTCATTTCCAGAGGCATCTGGGTCTTGGAAGGAAGGACATCAGTTTGCACCCTCCAGAGGCAGGGAAAGAGACACGTGGCAATGCAGGGAAGCCTGCTGGAGCAGAGCTGGAGGTGGCTGGGCCAGAGGGCAAGCAGCTAGGGGCAGTGAGTGATGTGGGCCACTGAACAGAGGGGAGGCAGCTTCGGGCAGCAGAGTGAGCTACTGGGCAGCTGCTGAGTCTGAGCTCTCACATGAGGACCAAAGACAGTGGGAGTCGCAAGGCTACTGACACTGGGGTATACCAAGGACTTCTTTAGGGAGTGCTAACATGCATATTCCAGGAGACTCGGAGTCAGGGTACAGCTACCTGCCTGTCGGCACGAAAGCTTGGTCCATTTCCACTGGAGCTCAGAACTAGACATGGCCGGGACTGGGTAACAGGCACCTTGAGGGGTTACATGCAGAGAGTGAGCTTGTCCAGTTTGTACCCAAGTCCTCCGGCTCTTGCATGATGCTTGTTCATAATAGCATCGGACCGTACCACAAGTAAAAAATACCAGCTCTATTCACAAAGGATGGCCAGAAGCAGAGGACCTGCCCAGGGTCGGGATGAGCAAGTGGCCAGGGTCACACTGGCATCTCTGGTGGCACATCCTCACCACTCATCCCTCCCAACATACCCTAAGCTTAAAGTCCAGGAAGGAAACAAGTAGGCCTGCCTCTGCCTCGGGACGGGTTGTGACTGGGCACAAGCCTGCAGGTGGCTGGGCTTGGGAGGCCAAGGTGTGGATGGAGAATTGGTGACAGGAAAGCCACCATCAGAGTGAGGGCTTAAGAGGGGAAGTTCATGGTGAGTCTTGCACTGGAGCCTGCTCTCCTGCCACCAGAGCAGCCAGGACTGGGGGATGGTGGGGGACAGAGTGACGGCTTTCCAGGGGATATTAATAAGGAGACCCCAAGTCCAGAGGGGTCTGGCATCAGCAGCAGCAAGGAGTGCTTCCAGGAAAATCTCCCAGACTGTCCACCCCATTCTCTTAGGAGTCTCCCGGCCTCTTGTTTTCCAGGGTGTCCTTGAACCCCTGTCCACTGACACACTATCCTTGATGGTACAGAGCTGGGCTGTGCCCAGAAGTCAGTGCCTGGCTCTGTGACCAAATTCCACACACGGCATCCTCCAGGACTAATAAAGACAGGGAGTTCAAGTCCAGCAAGGGGGAGGGGGGCCCCATGGAAAGAGTGACGTACATTGACCATATGGAAAGAAAAGAATGTGGGAAAGAGAGCATTGCCAAGAAGTCTTTGAGGAAGTGGGCTGGGAGGGAGACACTGTCTGGTGTGATGTAGCTAAATGGACTGTTGGCAAGAGCAGGAGGCCAGTTGGGGAGGGGGCCGTACAAAGTGGGGGAGGGAGGCAGATTCTGGGCTCAGACGCAAAGCCTGGTGCCTATGGCGGTGTTCCGGCTGACACTCTGTGTGAAGAACAGTTTGTTTTATCTTTATCTTTTCTTTTTCTTAGACAAAGTGGTGAGGGCCCACCTGCTAAGACAAAGGGGAGAGTGTGTGAGCCTTCCCAAGGACAGCGTATGTGGTAGCACCCACCCATGTGTCATGCCTGTGCAGTGATAGAAGCCTTGCCTGAGTATCATCAACATTCACTGATACTCAGAGAAGTTAGGCAAATTACCCGAGGCCACACAGCTAACAGTCCATGGAAATGACATTTGAACTTCGGTAACAGCCTTCTGCTGCTCTGAGTCCTTGTATAGAAACAGATACATGTAGCCTAGATCCTAGCAACACTTGCAGGCTGGAGACATCCACCCACATGATGAAACAAAAGATAAAAGAGGGACCAAGCAATATCTTCCATGATAAACAGGCTGGGTCTACCACTGGCTGAATCTTCTCTCCCTATCCATGTGTGTGGGGGCTGTTCAGACAGTTGTATGTGTGTGAGGGAGTGGAGAGAGAGCTGGGGGCAGAGAAATTCATTGTTTGGATAGGGAATGACAACTCATTTTCTATTCCAAGAACCCCTTACAGAATACAGGGCCTGGGTATGTGATGAAATCCTCCCTCTAATTGAAAAAGCAAGCATGACAGACAATCTCTACATACCTAGGCATTGCACAGCTGTGAGTCAGCAGCTCTGCCCACCCCACCGCCAGATCAGAGTCTGCAGTGACTTAAGCCTCTTCCTGGCTTGGCCCCACCAGGATCCTCCAGGAAAGCTGCTGAAAGTCAGTCTGCCCCACTAGGCATGGTATTTGTCCAGGGTTGGCAATAGGAGGGCTGCCCCATCCTATTCTTGAAAGACATGAGCTCCACCTGTGGGCAGACCTCTGGTCCTTTGGCAAACTCATACACCAAATGCCATAGGGGCTACTGAAAGTTCTGTATATGAAAACTGAACGGGGAACTGCCACATAGTGCGGAAATCAACTTTCAAGCCTGTTGTAGTGTCCCACCCCGTCTCCCAGGGACTTCAAGACTATGTCCAAAGTGTGACTCCACTAAGAACAGAGAAGGAGCTAAAGTCGCAGCCAGACTACCATAGCCGTAGAAGCCACTTAGGGTTGGGGGTATGGGGAGAAGGTGACTGTAAGGTCTCAGCATTAGGCTTTGGTATATGAGTTCTTATTGTCAGCAAACTACAGATGCCTCGCTCAGCAGCCGCAGGAGGATAAGAGCCCCACTCGGTTATAGCACATAGCTTTAGCCTGTTGACCAACACGTTGGAATACTGTCCACTGAGAAGATAAGAGTGTGCTGCAGTCCAGATGCTCACTGCCCATTGCAGCTTCTTCCACCATGGGCCACTGGGCCTCTGGGCTGCAGCCAACCCCTCAGCCATGCTGAGTAGGGCCTTGGATTGCAGACCTCAGTGGAGAGAGTCGACAACAGACTCTTTAATTCCTACTCTGGCTCCTGCTGACAGGATATGCTTAGACTGTTTTGGGTTCAGCAAAACATATGATTGAAGTCAATTTCACCTGCTTCTGATTCCTTTTGATATAGCTACTAGAAAATTCTATTTGTGGCTGGCAAATGGACACTAGGGTATTGGATTCAGTGAGAGGGCCAGGCTTAAAAAGCAAATATCTTAGGGGAAAAATGCCCCTGATGCGCCATTTAAAAGGACAAGTGTCCCTTTAAATGTTCACATTAGATTCTGGGGATGGGGAGAGGATGGAGGGGCAGGGTAGAGAGAACACATGAGGCCTGCAGAAGCAATCCCATTATCCATCCCAGGAGCTCCGCTGGATCCAAGGCAAGTGGAAGACCAGGATTCAGGCAGGCCTCCAACCCAGGAGTACAGGCATTAGGGAAACTGGACTCAGGATCATGTGTGTGCAGAGCAGGGCATGGAAGCGTTTGTTCTCCTATGTTCAGTGCAGGGTATCTTCTAAATCTTGTTAGCTAAATCTCCAGCCTTGAAAGGGAGGTCAGTGAGCATCCTAGGAAACTGTGGAAGAGAACGGAAGATGGATGAGGTGATGCTGCTACTGCTAAGGGAGATGGTGATGGTGCTGCTGCCGCCATGATAGTGGAAATGAAAGAATGGTGACAATAGAAATGGTGATGATAATGGCATTTGTGATGATGGCGAGGTAATGACACACATGGTGGTGACAATAGAAATAGCGGAGGTGATGGTGATGATGATGGTGATTATGGTGTTGATGGTAACTATGGTGATGATGATACCAGAGATGGTGGTGATAATGGTGATGGTGACAGCAATACTGAGGATGCCTGTAGGGTTGTGTGTAGCTGAATAACCTGAGTCAGGTAGCCCCCAGAATCTGCCCCCTCCCCGTTTTGACTGTAGGTCTCCCAAATCATCTGATTGCTTGTTCTATTGGAAATCTGGGGTGCCCGCATGGGGTCTGCACTGGATGGTAGAGAAAAAAGGCACCTGCCTGAGAGATGGTTTCCGAACAACTAAAGGTTGCTTTGGATTTTTAAAACATGGACAGAATAAAGTATTCTCTGCTCTAGTACTGACATCCTGATTCTTCAGCTTCCTCTTCCCCTCCCCCTCCTCTTCTCTGCCTTCTTCCCCACTTCCTCCTCTTCCTTCTACTTCTTCCACTGAAAGGAAAAGAAGGCTAGAAGGAGGGGGGAGGCAGAAGAGGGAGAAACTGGACCTCTGAAAGCGTATAATGAACATTCCAGGGATGTGATTTGATCTTGGCCCGCCCACCAGACTGAGATCTGGAGGCAAGTCCAGGCGAAATTTCCACTGTTGCAGATCTGCTGGGGGCAGGGGATAGGCAGGGCAGAGTCCAGACTCTGAGAGCTCCTCCAGGGACCCTGCCTCAAGTCTATGAATGAAGAGAAGGAAAGAGGGTTGGGAACCTCCTCAGGACTAGAGATGTCTGAGGAAACTGGCAGGATAAAGAAATACTTAGAAAAAAACTAAATTTCAACCCTGTTTTTAAGTAAAAGGATAGACTGCCTGAATTGCTGGCTGCTCTGCCATCCCAGCCTCATCTGCTCCATGGG